TTTGTACACGGCAAAGACACGGGTCTTTACATGCCACATCTTCCATGTAGTTGTTATATGGTTTTAAGGAGAGTCTCACTGGCCGAGAAGGGGATTTTGCTGCAAAACTGAAAGGCAAGACGATGTGCAGGGAAATGCGACCTTGTCCTTTTTTTGCTGCCTGTATGTGTGTGGAAATGTAGTGGCAAAGCTTGTGTGGGTGTGGATGTGGTGTGTGAGCGACAGAGAGAGAGAGAGAGAGAGAGAGTCGAATGTGACTGAGTGCGTGTGTGTTTATGTGTCTGTAAATGAATCGATGCGTATCTGCTTTTGCGCATATGTGTATTCCTTGGTATATTTAACCTTCAGTTCCATCGTAGGTTGCTCTTGCATGATTTAGATCGAGACATTTGACGGTTTGACGTTTATGCTGTGTTTGATGTGTCGTAAAGCTGAGAAGTGACAGGCGGAGGCGTAGACCCGAGAGCCTTCCTTCACGGGCGGTATTATCAGTATTTTATGTGCTTGTGCCGTGCAGGAGGAAATTATCACGAGGAGATAAAGTCTTATTTAGTAAGGCTGAGTGCGGATTGTCCAAAGCAGTTACACGCATGTCAGAAGGCTACGGGTGAATAGGGAGAGGAGTGCCAGCGCCTTTTTCGCCGCGGGTTAACTTGAGTTTAATATGTTTTGGGTGTGTGGAACAGAACACGTGTGTTTTCGATTTTAGGGGGAAGAGTAAGAGGTTTTGCCTGATATTCTTATTTAGGTTTTAAGACCCATTTCTATTTTTGTGCAGTCCATGTGTCACAAATGAGCTGCGGCCTGGCATCCAACTGGGCGCTTAAATATCTTACCAGTATATACATGTCAGGTTCAAAGTTATGTGTGTTTATGCTTCTGTATCTCCTGGCATCTCAGAACTACTCAAGAAGTCTCTTGGGTACGTACTTTTCTCTCAGTCACAGAGAAGGCTTCGCGGAAAGTTTGACATTTACTTTATTTCCGCGACAAGTCGTCGAGAGAGCCCTGACAGATAAATGCGTGTATGTGTCGCTGTTATGCCTTTCGTCGCCGCGCTGCCAGATCGTATCTCGTTCGGAGACGTCCGAGAAGGGGGGGGGGTCCCTTTGTGAAGCTTGTCCCATTAAGCGTAGATGCATGTCCCTTGATATTTTCTACGGGAGCAGTAGGGGTCGGGAGGGGTGGAAGAGGGCAGACAAGCCCTACGTCATGATCTCATGAAGTAGGTGCACAGAACCAAACAAACAGCGACAACAACGACCATGACAGGAGGCTTGTCGAAGCGTTTGTGAACCCGCGTGAGTCTGCGATGACGGGGAGGTGACGTCACAAGGCGATGATGGGCGTGTTATGTGGGTGATGTTGTGCTGGGGTGGTTTATGGTGTTTATGGGGGGTGTTGGCGCTGTTTATGCTTAGTCTCTACACTCGACTTCTATCCTGTCGGGCGAAGGGGCCGCCGGGAAAAAAGACTGCTTGAATAATCAACCGAACGTATCTTGTTCCCAGCTGTTTTGATGGATTGAGTGGAATGGGAAGGAGAGAAGATGAAAGATAGGGAAAGGGGAAAGAGAATAATTGGAGAGAGAGAGAGAGAGAGAGAGAGAGAGAGAGAGAGAGAGAGAGAGAGAGAGAGAGAGAGAGAGAGAGAGAATAGGATTTATTGTAACATAGACGCAAGATGAAAGAATGGCTTCTTTAATCGGTGATGAGGCTGTGAAGTACAAGACGTATTACTGGAATGTGTTGCTTCGAGAATGAGGAATGTATATGAATAATTCATGGAATAAATAATCGGAACGAGTCTGAACGCCACACAGTGTATAAGTCTCTTGTCTCCAGGAATAAGTCTTGTGTCATGCTTATCTTCTTAGACTTGCCCTTTGACTTCCTGTTGTTCCTTCAGATCAGTACTGCTCTTTCCCTCTCTCCTCCGGGTTTCTTCGTTCTAAGACCGCGAGTGTCGTGATAACAGCTACGAACGTGTATGTATGTTAGTGGTTCTGTGAGTACTGACATTTTTAGCTCTTATTCGTTACTTTGGTCATTTCTTCGCTAGGCATCGCTAGTTTTATCTGCTACCGGTAGGCATCAAATCATGATTGACTATCGTAGCCCATAGACCTTTCCTCACATGACAGGGATTCTTAATTGAATAATCACCCTCATCCTCCCAGGCCTCCCCAGCGCCTCCTTCGACTGCCCTCATCCTTGTCGTGGCCACCCTCGAGGCAAGGCAGGAGGGCCGTCGCAGCCAGTCCCTTACAGCCAGTCTGGCATTCCTGATAACTATGTAACGACTCTCAAGACAGTTTTAGGATTAGAAACGATGCCGTCTTGGATGCGGAGATGATCGTAGAAAGGCCGCGGTTGGCGACTGTGATGGATCAGAGAGGAAAATCGCGTGCTGTGTTTGTTGGCTTACTGACTCATCACGCGAAGGATTTGTGTATTTGTTTAGATAGTGACTACGACGTGTTTTGTGTTGACGTTTATCGTGTTCGGGATGAATGGAATATCTGAAGCCGCTCTGATAATAGTGGTAGAGATGAGAAAGTGGTGAAGTCATACTTGAAGGTGGAACCTTTGAAGAAAATTAGGATTAGTTTGTTATGATTCAGTGATCATTTGTCATCATTTACCATGATCTTTGGGGTATACCAGAAATGACATTAACGGTACTTTGAAACAGGAAGAGAACAATACCGCTTCACGAAGGGTCCGCTATAAGTGCAGTAGTTCAGAGGTTAATGGCGCATTATCCACACAGCAAGCAAGGACCTGTACGTGCGCAGTGTGGATAAATAGCGGTTTGTAATAAGGTTGTCGCAACAAATGGGGTTCTTGTGGAGGTCGTATCAACGGAAGAACAAGTAGCTTATTCACGTCTTGTGTCTCGCGATCAGAAACTCCTCTGTTATATATTTACACGGTTTCAACATCCAAGGTCGTTATGCAACCTCTGGCGATGCTTTCCGACCGGATGATGAAAAATGATGCTATTTGTGCGTCTTCCTCGGACGTCACGAGACAAAAAATTGGAAGCTCTAAGATAACGATGCTATAATGGCACAAAACAGACACTTGACATTATCAGACGTCGGCATTGGGCATGTTCTAAGACTTAGATCATTTTTGTAATCAGCTGTTCTCTCTGACCTTCACGGCTTGGATGGGATGCAGACATGGGGGTTTTGCTGCTGTGGAAAGGGAAGCAATCAAGGTCTTCAGATGACTTAATTGCGAATATCTCATTTATTTGAGAAAGAAGTTAATGTAAGGAAGTGCGCCCTGGTGATTTCGGTTTCGACATCGTGATGTTTTTGGGTCCCCGCCGTAGCACGTACCTGCATCAGCATCTCTCTCTCTCTCTCTCTCTCTCTCTCTCTCTCTCTCTCTCTCTCTCTCTCTCTCTCTCTCTCTCTCATTCTCTCTCACTCTCTCCCTCTCCCTCTCCCTCTCCCTCTCCCTCCCTCCCTCTCTCTCTCCCTCTCCCTCCCTCCCTCTCTGTGTTTGAGTTTGTGTGTGTGACACAAACACACGCGTACACAGAAATATATATATATATATATATATATATATATATATATATATATATATATATATATATATATATATATATATATATATATATAATGTATGTATGTATGCATGTATGTATATATGCATGTATGTATGTATGTGTCTATATATAAATATATATATACATACACACACAAATATATATATATATGTATGTATATATATACATATATGTGTGTGTGTGTGTGTGTGTGTATGTATGTGTGTATATATACATATATATATATATACATAAATGCAAATATATATATATATATATATATATATATATATATATATATATATATATATATATATATATATATATATATATATATATATATATATATATATATATATATATATATATATATATATATATATATATATGTATATACATATATTTTTTCTTTCTTTCTTTTTTTGTGTGTGTGTTTGTGTTTGTGTTGACTATGTATATGGCACAGATCTGTAAATTGCTATAGTTACAAAATGTACAAATGTTATATTTTTCATCAGAAGATCATGTTCCAGATAAAAAAAAAAGCAGGAATGACTCCGTAAAAGGAAATCATGTTTTTATTTATATTATCTGGATTTGCCTCTGTTTCATTTGCAATTGTAGTAACATGCTCTATCGTTTATCTGAAGTTGCGAGGGAAATCTGTAGTAAGTATATTTATCTACTGTTATTTCTAATGTTAAGGTTAGTGCAGTCTGTAAGATCATTGAAGATCGTTTCGTGGATGGGTTTGTATGACTTCATTTTCTTTTAGTCTACCATTACAAAGGTTGTATCCTTCGTTTTCTGTAAATAGAACTTTACTCCTAGATTGAAGGGGTAACTTGGTTATTTTAGTTTGAGCCTGTTTTTCATATTTCTCGAGTACATTTAATGAGGTGTATATAGTATATGCGTATTTGATTTTTGTGATATTGATTTAAAACTACATAGGCCAAGTCATTGTCGCAATTTTCCGTGTGTGTATAAATAGATTGATAAATAGATAGATGTTTACAAACGCATACATATATACATGCATGTGTGTGTGTGTGTGTGTGTGTGTGTGTGTGTGTGTGTGTGTGTGTGTGGATAGCTAGATAGCTAGCAAGATAGATAGATATATGTTTACAAACACACATGCATATATACATACATACATGCGTGTGTGTGTATAGATAGATAGAGATGTGTAAATAACGCATACATATATAAATACATACTTGTGTATGTATATATATATATATATATATATATATATATATATATATATATATAGAGAGAGAGAGAGAGAGAGAGAGAGAGAGAGAGAGAGAGAGAGAGACAGAGAGAGAGAGAGAGGGGGGGGGGAGATACACACACACCTACATATTAACCTAGATTTATTACAGTCTGACAAATTCTGACCCAAGTAACACTTGCCTTTCCGTCCACAGGATCTGCAGAGTGAGATCGAGTCGCACAAAGATGTGCTGGCGAGCCTCAACGCGACGGGCCAGAAGCTCCTGGGGACGCTGGAGAACCAGGATGAGGCGGTGATGCTCCAGCGCCGCTTGGAGGAGATGAACCAGCGATGGAACACTCTCAAGCACAAGAGCATCGCCATCAGGTGAGCTGCGATCGAAGGTTTTGCTGATTATTATTATTATTATTATTATTATTATTATTATTATTATCTGTGATAAAACGCTACTCTCAAGCACCAAAGTTTTGCAGTCAGAGTGGCTATACACACATTTACCGAGGTTTATTATCCATTTTGCAAAAGGCAAATTGTGTCAGATGAAATATTTTCACTTAGAATCAGTGGCGAGGATTACTAGGCATCAAAGATCCCACTTTGTTAAATGTATACAGTCAGATATAATCACAAATTGTATTTAAGCAATAGTGTCATTAAAGCGGCCATCAGTTCAAATAGTAAGAAACTAATTTCATCAATGTGTGATTGCAGAATGGATGCCTGGATTATTAGACGTTAAAAATAAGGTTTTCATTGAGAGAGACTGCAGGATGAATTTGGATTAGTTGAAGATCGTAAAGTACAAACGCCATCGTCATACATAGAGCGGCTGCAAGTCCACCTCATTGTACAATTTTTATTTATGAATTTATCTTATCTTAATAGATTTATTAGTTTCAACGTGTGTAGATTTGGCCTAGTTCACTTTTAATCAGGTAAAGAACAGAGAATTTACATGAGAAGAGAGTCGAAGGATTTAAGCGTAGGAGGTATATTGCTTTCTGGTCCAGTCTGTAGAACTTTCGGGAGTCATGTTCTATTGCAAAGTTGGGTTCGGTTAATTATCTTTGGCCTGAAGAGGATGGCAATCAGTGGCAGCATAAACATTTCATATTTCTCAGAATTAAAATTTAGATATGTAGCTATTGACCATCAAATAGGCAGTGTTTATTATCTGGAAATGTTCTGTTTAAATGCAGCTTTTTTTAACATACAGTTAAATGTGTCTGGGAATCTGTAACTGTAATTATAATTCCAATGGCTGCAAAAGTCATATTGGATAATTGGTCTAAATTGTTTTCGCATTTTAAAATGATTTTTGTTGGCAGTTGTTTAATCGTTATCCCGCAGTGTGGCAGCTTTCACAACGGCATAGTATAGATAATTCATCATTTCTGAATATCCGCAGAAATCGCCTGGAGGGCAATGCCGAGAACTGGAACTCACTCCTGCTGTCCCTCCGCGAACTGATCGAATGGGTGATCAGGAAGGACACGGAGCTGACCGCCCTGGGCCCGCTCGTGGGTGACCTGAACGCCCTTGCTAAATTCTCCGATGACCTCGCAGCCTTTAGGAGAGTGATCGACGAAAAGCAGCCCGTTATTGAGTCGAACTTGAAGAGTGGGCGGCAGCTCATCGCCTCGGAGCCTCCATTGAGTGATACCAGTGATAGCGAAGGTGAGAAAGAAAACGGGCAAAATGGGGTCTCAGAGAAAATGGGAATATGTAAGCATAGACCTTAATATTTTAAATGTTTGTGTATTTTTGTTTTTCACATTTCTCAAATATAATCCAATGTGTTATATACACATATCCATACAAGCACACATATGTTTAGACACACACACAAATTTACACACGTGCGCACACCAAATACACAAACTTTCAACACACACACACATAAACACCAAACACACACACACACACACCAAATACACACACACACACACCAAATACACACACACACACACAAACACCAAACACACACAAACACCAAACACACACAAACACCAAACACACACAACCACCAACCACACACAACCACCAACCACACACAACCACCAACCACACACAACCACCAACCACACACAGCCACCAACCACACACAATCACCAACCACACACAACCACCAACCACACACAAACACCAACCACACACAACCACCAACCACACACAAACACCAACCACACACAAACACCAACCACACACAAACACCAAACACACACAAACACCAAACACACACAACCACCAACCACACACAAACACCAACCACACACAAACACCAAACACACACAAACACCAAACACACACAAACACCAAACACACACAAACACCGAACACACAAACACCGAACACACACAAACACCGAACACACACAAACACAGAACACACACAAACACCGAACACACACAAACACCGAACACACACAAACACCGAACACACACAAACACCGAACACACACAAACACCGAACACACACAAACACCGAACACACACAAACACCGAACACACACAAACACCGAACACACACAAACACCGAACACACACAAACACCGAACACACACAAACACCGAACACACACAAACACCGAACACACACAAACACCGAACACACACAAACACCAAACACACACAAACACCAAACACACACAAACACACACACACACCAAACACACACACACACCAAACACACACAAACACCAAACACACACAAACACCAAACACACACAAACACCAAACACACACAAACACCAAACACACACAAACACCAAACACACACAAACACCAAACACACACAAACACCAAACACACGCAAACACCAAACACACACAAACACCAAACACACACACACACAAATACACACACACACACAGACACACACACACACAGACACACACACCAAACACACACACACACACACACACACACACTCACACACACACACACACACACACACACACACACACACACACACACACACACACACACACACACATATATATATATATATATATATATATATATATATATATATATATATATATATATATATATATACATATAATATATGTAATATTTACAATGAGGATGAGAATGATGATGATGGTGAAGGTGATAATAATAATAATAATAACAGTAACAATGATATCACCATTATTATTATTATTATTATTATTATTATTATTATCATAGTTGTTGATGCTGTTATTATTATTGTTGTTATTATTATTATTATTATTATCATTATCATTATCATTATCATTATCATTGTTATTATTACAACTACTATAACTTATTATTATCATCACTATTCTTGTTATTGTTATCATCATTATCATCATTGTTATAGTAACAACTATTATAAATATTATTATTATTATCATCACGATTATAGTTATTGTGGATGTGTCCAACTCTGTCCACCATTTTCACCACTCCCCCTCCCCCTAACACAGTACCCCTCCCCCCCTTCTTGATATATTGATTTCTTGATCCGCCACAGCCCGTTCATACATGCCTTGATAATACCATCTACATAGTTTCCATCCGACATTAAAACCAAACTCCCTTATTAACGTCGCTCTCCGACGCCATCAGCTGGTCGCGAGCTGGACGGCGACGCCCGATACCGGGGCGACGATAACGCCCGAGACCTGACCCGGGCCGTCCGCCGGGAGGTCGCCAAGCTCTCGGAGAAGTGGGCCGCACTCAGGGAGAGGGCCGCCGCCGCCAACGCCCAGGCCGACCTCGCATGCAAGGTAGGTGATGAAGCCGTACGCCTTTATTGAGGGGAGGGGCGCCTGCACCCTATGCTATGGCAGGCAGCAATCAGAGGGCCTGTCATCAGATATGGCAAGGGGTAATCGGAGTGGCTTCTATGATAGCACTTTGGTTTGCGAAACTGCGCAGTGGAAGGATACTTTGGCTTTGGTTTTGTTGTGTACGCAATATACACGGCGTAGGAGAATAGAATACCAGGAGGAAAATGGGAAACTGAAATAGATGACGTGTAAGTCATAAGGTGTCATGGACGGCGATGTTAGGGAGATAAGTCAAAGAAACGGGTGGAAAGAAATGACCTTGGGGGTTAAAAGGAGTCTCATATTTGTTTTCGAGGAAGAAGGGAAGTTGCATTGGAGCAGAGGTTAAAAGAAAATCATACACTTATCACTCTTATCTTTACATAGCTTTTGTGATTAAGTGGTAATTAGGAATGAAGCAAAAAGACGGCGGGTGTCCAGCAGATAGTCATCAGTAATACAGTGTTGACCAGCAATTAAACTGGCGAGTCTATCCAATTATCAAACTCCTTTTGTGGCCAAATCCCAATGGCCGATCTGCATCTGGAAACATAACCAGCACTTTGTATGGCGTTAGTTTTTTTCGTGTTAGTTAGCCGTTAAACATAGATGGGTAATTCACAGGCGTAAAATACATGCGCGATTATCATGAGTGCCGAGGGTGTGCGGGAAGGAGCGTGCAGACGGACCTCGCCTTGGCGTATATATTAGGCTATGCGAGTACCAAAGAGTCGAAGGTCGGGTTCCTCCGCTTTGTCCTTCCCGAGCATCATAGTGGATCCACCCACGAAATTGCAGGAAAGCGATGCTAATAAGACGAGTCATGGCCCTATAAGTGTGGCCGAGGGCGCGCGGGCGGCTGAAATAAGAGGAGAAGCGAGCAAGCAGGTGGGCGTCGGCCAGCCAGCCGCGGGCGCTGAAGAGACTAGTGCCTGGCGGGCAAGTGTCTGTGCTAGACTTTGCTAATGTCTGCAGTCAAATCAGTTGGGTTCTAGTGCTCATAGAAGAGTGATAGGAGAGAGTAGTAAAAGCAAAACAAAAAACACAAAAGGAACAAATGCTCTGTATATAAGGATACAAGTTTATATAATATCTTTTGATGTTAGGAAATATTAGATCGAAGAGCAAACATAGAGAAAGAGAGGAATCCGAGTACGGATTTGAAGAAAATATACCATAAGTAAATGATGTAAAGAGAGTCAATGCAAACAAGAAACACCTGGATACTCCGCACTGAAGTAGCTACATGATGTAAGGCAGGCACAGAGAGCGAGTGTTGCTTCATGAAGAGAAGGCACAAGCCCCTCCTGTTGCGTCCTCGGTATCGTAGGTGTTTACTGCCAATACAAACGCAGGGAGATGGAGGTGCACTTGTAAAGAAACCCTCTTTGCCCAGATTACACCGCGATTCTTCTTTTTTTCTGAAGAATAGGGCCTGTAGCATTTACATAAGCTGTCTAATCTCGTCGTGAAAACACTTGGTAACTGAAGGCTCTTGGTAAGATAAAGCGTTGGCTTAGTCTCCTTTGGTAAAGCAACACTAATACTTATTTTTCCTGGTGATAAGGATCTCAGATCCTGCTAGATATCTCCCGAAGTCTTGAAAATTATACGTGAAGGATATTAAAGTGTATATTAGGTTCATAGATTAGGTTCATGACTCATGTATGTAAGAGAGTGGTTGATTATGCACAGGCTGTGAACAGAAGGATTATGCGTATGTATGTAATCTCTCTTCATTCCCATCTCTCTCTCTCTCTCTCTCTCTCTCTCTCTCTCTCTCTCTCTCTCTCTCTCTCTCTCTCTCTCTCTCTCTCTCTCTCTCTCTCTCTCTCTCTCTCTATTTCTCTCTCTATTTCTCTCTCTATTTCTCTCTCTCTTTCTCTCTCTCTTTCTCTCTCTCTTCCTCTCTCTTTCTCTCTCTCTCTCTCTCTCTCTCTCTCTCTCTCTCTCTCTCTCTCTCTCTCTCTCTCTCTCTCTCTCTATTTCTCTCTCTCTCTATTTCTCTCTCTCTATTTCTATCTCTCTCTATTTCTATCTCTCTCTTTCTCTCTCTCTCTTTCTCTCTCTCTCTTTCTCTCTCTCTCTTTCTCTCTCTCTCTTTCTCTCTCTCTCTTTCTCTCTCTCTCTCTCTCTCTCTCTCTCTCTCTCTCTCTCTCTCTCTCTCTCTCTCTCTCTCTCTCTCTCCCTCTCCCTCTCCCTCTCTTTCGCCCCTCCTCTCTCTCTTTCTCTCTCTCTCCCTCTTTTTATAACCAAAATTAATATTTTCGTATTACTATTATTATTATATCATTAGTAACGGCTTACTTCGCGTATGTGTAGGCCAGTTAATAGTGCGAATGCGACACATTAGGTGTAATGTTACTAATCTGATCAGATAGCAAGAGCTTGTCGGACCCAATTAACACCTCCCAGACATTGATCTCCCGTTAGCTTTGCTGAGGATTTGTCCCCTTCCCCTCCTCCACTCTACTCGCAACTGCTGACAAATGTCGCTGATATCGTAACAGTTCCCACTTAAGCTGTGCATCCTTAAATAGAACAGAATCCCCTCGACCCCCGGACTCCCAGTCCCAGCCGTCAGAGAGTCGGAAATCCACCTTGACAAGGCCGCTCTCATGACCTCTAGCGACACAGGCGGCGCAAACTGACATAGCAGAGTCGGCGAAGAGATGATGAATTAGCAAAGACTAGAGGCGCCGCCCTTTTATGTCTTATCTCCAAGCTTTAGGTGGCGCCGCCCGACGT